TCTCACCAGAACCACGCCATCGCTAGTGCGGTTTTCCTCCGCGTGCAAGGGAAAAAGCCCTACAGTAGTGCCAGCCCGTGGTCTTGTAAAGTCTCATCTGTCTTCAGTATTTCATCTATAATTTCTCCTAGAAAGAGGAACAAAAGAAGTAATTAGATGCTAGAACTGCGTGCTGTAACGATGGCGGTAATCTTCCTGTCACTGCTCCTCAAGTATTTGAGGTTTTTAAAAAAAAAAAAAAAAAAAAAACAAAAAGAAAAAACCCCCACCAGAATAAAGCTTAATTAATGTTCTTTGGCAACAGGACAAATGGCAGGTCCTGTGACTGACGTACCTTGCTCCGGGGTTGCTGGGCCTTTCACACTGGTGCTACATCGCCTCCACCCCGTGTGAATGAAGAGGAAGATCGCGGTGCCATTCCCCTTCCCTTCCTCATTTGTATTTTACAGAGTAATGTGTGAAGTCTCTTCGCAGGGCCTCGCTGGTGGTATTTCTACTTACGAGACTGAGTAAGGAGAGCATGCTCCCGAAAAGTACCGTGGTGCTGTCGAGAGCTATTCTGTTTGGAAATCACTTGGTCCTTTAATATGTCAAAAAACAAGCGTGGGGTCAGCAGAAGGGCTGATTGCAGACGAGAGGAAAGAAAGTAAGAGGCTAATTTTGCTGATAAAAAAAGGTATGATAAGCCTCAGCAGGGCAAAGTCTGTCCTGTAACAGGACGAATAACCTGATGATGCGAACTGGCAGCATTAATTCCAAGCAGGCCCTCCCTGCTGGCAAAAACTCGGTAGGCCAGCTGCAGTGGTTTTGCTGTCGGGTCCCTTTCGCCATCAGGCTGCAGGATTCTGGTTTGCTCTTTGGAAAGTAAATGCTGAAAATCTGATTTCAGCTGAGCCATGGCTTCCCGGGAGAGGATACGTGCAAACGGCAGTTCCGCCACCCTACGGGGTATCTGGGCTGGGTTAGCTTGTCGAAGGTATTTTTAGGGCAGCTGGAGGAAAATGCTGTGGAAGCATGGTGCGCCTGCTCAGCGTTCCCCTGTGCGTCATCGATCTCACGGCATCGCGCTCGTTCTTTGCCCTTTCAGCGAGGTTGCCGCGGCATTCACCCGACTGGCCGGAGCAGCGTGATTCCAGGAGGGCGATGCTGGAGTGTGGTAATAGACACAGACATTTTGCATCACGGAGACAGTTCCTAGAGGGGAGGAAGCGCCTGGTTTCGTGGCTGTCGGTAGGCGGAGGGGAGCGTGTGCTACCTGTGGGTTCAGAGGAGCAGAGCATCGCCGGTCACTTCGGCTTCCCTTTCTCCCCTGCTGCCGCTCCCAGGTGCTACTCCAGGGTGTCTGCAGCTTGCGTTCTGCCATCACCTTGCCCTGTCCATGTAGCAAGTCGGTGGGTTAATGTTCAGTAGAACTGTGCGATTCACCAGCGATGCTGGTTTGAACAATTTGAAGGAGAAAGAGAGCGTACGTGATTTTTTTTATTATTATTTTTTTTTCTCCTCCCCTTAGGCCATTGGCTCACTTCAAAGACAAAAGTTCATTCTTTTTGGCTCAAAAATGCTTTTTGGCTGTGAAAAAAAAAACCACAAAAGCCATCTTTTCTGGCAGAAGTCACTGATGAAGAGGGATATTGCAGTGGGGGGCTGCCGGATGCTAACCTCCGACGGCCCTCATGGAGGGCAAATTCAGAAGACGTAGCTGACTTCTTCTTTTGGGGGAAAAAAAAATCAAGTGGAAGCCAAACAAGCCTATTTCTTAGAGGAAATAAGCGTAATTAAGCACCAAGTTAAATCCTTGGGTTCTGCCTGGACTGGGTTGTACCATAGGAAAAGCCGGGGTGGTTTCTCTTTGTAGCTTAGGGCTTTTTCATGGTTGCAAGAAGCTCGTTGCTTTCATCTCCTGAGCTTTGTGAACCTTTAACCTGATTTCCTGCGTGGTCAGCATGGAAGGAAACTTTTTGGTGTATCTGCAGCCTGAGGATGGTGAAAGTCTGGTTATCTCAGTGCAATAAAGGTGACAACAAATACACCTGTGGTAACAGAAGAAGGAACATACGCTTGTCAGCAAACGCTGGAAATCCTCCATTCGCTGTTGGGTGTTTGGTTTTCAGCTGTGGAAGCAAAAGGTGTTTTGTCAAGGACGCGGGCTGGGATGCGGCCGTCAGAAATAAGAGGTGAGGGGACGACCAGTGGAGGAATGAAGTGCTGAAAGAGCTGGTAAAAGAAAAAGCACAAGATAGACAGGCTGCAAAAAAAAAAACCCACATTGCCTAAGGTTTCCACTGGTGGTTTTTATTCTGAGAATTGAGCTCCCCGTTTTTTAGCTCAGAAGAAACTTAGGGGACGAAGTACAGCATCGGAGAGTGTCTGCAGTCTTCTTTTGACCCACGTGTAAGATGTTAATCTTAAACCTGCCGCGTTTAATTCGGGGGTGGTGTAGACACTTTTGATCTGCCCGGGAGATTTTTCTCACCAGCTTTTTGCAGATCGGAGCTTGCAAATTGCCTCTCAAATCCTGATAATTAATGAGGGTGGGTGGTGAACATGAACTGCAAATGGCTGGAGGTTTTCTGAGCCTTTTTATTTTTGGCTTCTAAAAATCCGTGTGCCCCCAAAAAGCTCGGGAAGACAAAAGGGAAAATTATATCGGTGGGGAAGCGGGGCAGGGGGGGGAGTGGGTGTGTTGCTCCGCTGCCGTCCGAAGTGCCACGTTTCCCATCCTTGGGACGCTCCGCAGGCATCCCGCTGGATGAGGACCGGCCCCTCGTCTCCGAGCGATGCCCCAGCCTCGGCGCTGTGGGCTTCACTGCGCAGGCAAGAGAAGTTTCCCCGAGGCTGGGGCTGGTGCCAGGCTGGAGAGCGTTGCGGGCTCGCGTATCTCGCATTTCATCTCTTGTAAAATTAGTGCTGCTTTTCTCTCGCTCCCTTCTTTTTGTTCGCTCTAAATCCTCTGCTAAGTCTGGGTTGCGCTGGGTATCCGTGTCGCAGGGTCATCTGTCTCGCTGCACGATGTTAGCAGTAGTCCAAGAAACAAGCCTGGAAACGTGTGTTAGATTTATGCTGGAGGTCATTTTGGAGTAGTTTTCTCAGCCCAATTTATTGGCACCAGGAGAAATTGCCTCCATAATCCAAGTTTTAGTCGTCGTTTTTTCAGATACTGCTGTGCCGTGCCGTCTGGAGACAGGTGAAGGCGCACCGTCAGCTGGAACCTTCACCTTGGAGCTGCTTGGAGCAGGGATCGAGCGCGTTACAGCGGAGAAAAGCCCTTTTCTGTGCCGAGCGAGGTGGGAGCGGGGCTGTGAGGGGACGTGAGGGGGGGTTTTGCACGCAGAGTCCTTCCCGTGTCGTGGTGAGAGCCGCCCATCTCAGAACCCGCGCTCCTCGCAGAGGATCACCTTCGGCCCAGTCGGCCGCGTCCTCGCTTCTGCGGCGCTGGGGACGGGCAGGGGAATCCCTCCCATGAGCGTGTCCTGGGGTGCCGTGGTGCTGCCGGGGCGGAGGGGAACGCAGCCCCGAGGAGTGTCTGTAGGGTTGTACGCTCCGGGTGGGGTGGGGGCGGGGAAGCGCCCGCCCGCTGCTGTCAGTAGAGCTCTTGTGGTCAGCCGGGGGTAGGATGGGCTGTATCCTTTCAAAGTAGGTGCCCAGAAGTAATGAGGGAAGAAATTATGTTTATGATATGCTGTAGCTGAACTAAACAACTTGGCAAAAAGGGCTGGTGCTCATTTTTCTCGAGCTCTTCTCCCCTTCCGAAAGGTTTGGCTGGTGGAAAGGCAAGCAGGGTCATCTCACCGAAGGCTGAAGTTGTTTGTGTTCAAGTGCAGAACCATTTAGCAATTAAACAGTTCAGGTTTTTTAACTATTTTTTTTTTTACACAAAATATTGCAGCTATGAATTAGCTTTTTCTTCCCCCTTTTGTTTTATGTGACATCTGGATCGTTCGGGGAGCGTAATTCCATCTGAAAATGGGGATAGTTCCCATTCTGAGGAGTGGAGGTTTTATGGATTCAGTAGAGTAATGAACACGTAGAAAAAAGATAATACAGCTGGCTGTCGCCTTTCACATCTACGAAGAGAAGATCTTTAATTGATTTAGGGGGGTTATTTCATCTGAACGCTTGCAATTAGCAGCTCTTAATCACTAAAACACTTTGTAAGAAATCTGGCTTGATGGGTGGATTGGTAAAAGGAACAGGAGGAGCAGATACTGCTGGTTTCTGATCCTCTCTCCAAAAAAAACCCCGTGTTCTGTGGGAATAGCTGAGTGGGTGGGAAGCGTGTCTGTGCGCGTGTTGCTTGCTTCCAGCAGCGGATTGAAGAACAGGGCTGGAAGAGACGTTGGGTTCAGCTGCTGCGTTCCGGCCCCAAGGCAGGATCGATCTTTATAAATATATAAATATCTGCAGGGTGGGTGTCAGGAGGACGGGGCCAGACTCTTTCCAGTGGTGCCCAGTGACAGGACAAGGGGCAATGGGCACAAACTGGAGCAGAGGAAGTTCCAGCGGAAGATGAGGAAGAACTTCTTCCCTCTGAGGATGACGGAGCCCTGGCCCAGGCTGCCCAGGGAGGCTGTGGGGGCTCCTTCTCCTGAGATATTCCAGACCCGGCTGGACGTGGTGCTGTGCAGCCTGCTGTGGGCGGCAGGGGCCTGGACTTGGTGACCCACAGAGGTCCCTGCCAACCCCGAACATTCTGGGATTCTGTGATCCGCCTGTGTCGTGATCTACCCGCATCAGGTGGCTGTTGAACACGGTTTTAGCGACCTGCGACAATGGAGACAGCCCGTGCTCTTGTACTCCTCTTCCCGAACCCCGTTCTTTGACTTCTTGAAGCTCCACATGTAGAGGTTCCCTTTTCTCAATACTTTTCTCTCTCTTTTGCCATCCCTAGGTAAAAGCGACCTGACAGCCAAGCAGGAGGGTGGATTATTTGCCAGACAATGAGCACGCGTCTCTAGACATGATCTGTGGTTCGGTCCAGCTGGAGCTGTCTGAATGAAGCTATGGGCTGTGCCTCCGCCAAGCATGTTTCTACTGTTCAAAACGAAGAGGAAACTCAGAAGGGGAAAAACTACCAGAACGGAGATGTGTTTGGTGGTAAGTGTCGCAGGATTGCATCTTTCTCCAGCATCGTGGATGTTCGGGGAGGTATATTTGGGAGCCTTATCCTTCCACAAAATACAAAGGGAAACGCACGTTAAAATAAATCACTGCGATAGTGCAGTTGGCCCTTGCAAGGGATAGTACCATGAGAGCTGAAATAAAGGTGGGGTGAAATCCTTAGTGGAAAATGGACGTTCTGATTCGTATAGAGTACTGCACTGTCTGTAACTCCTCACATCCTGGAATAGCTTAAAGAGAACCAGTTGCACAACCCCCTTATATATGTGTGTGTGTGTATAGAATTGTCATTAGGTGCCAGAATAGGAGACTCATTTCCTAAAAGTAAAAATCTACTCAGTAAGAAAAATAATTCCTTGATATTGTTGTCCTCTAAATCAATAAAATACGAGTTCTGAAATCCTGTAGCAAACAGAATTTGAAGGTACAATGAGATGAGAAACAACCTTCTGCGAGGGATTCAGCAGTGCTGGGGAGCTCTGAAGGTGGGATGGAAACATCTGTTTCACAGGGCGGGAAGACTGGTCTGTGATCCGGGTCTCCTCACAGGCGCTTGTGCATCGGGAAAGACAAAGCGGTAGGAAATAAAATGCATAATCAGCGTCATGATTTTTTTTTCCCCTCAGATTCTGTTAGTATATGCTAAGTAGTTAGTATATGCCCGCTTCATTATTTTTTTTTTTTAATAAAAATTCATTTTTTTTAAATGTTTGGGATTATCTGGAGAACTGTTCAGGAACAAGATTTCTAGATCTGTGCAAATACCTATCTGAAAGTGAAGTCAGCTGTAAATAAGCTAACATGGGCCTGTTATTCTATTCTGTTCTCCTAACTTGGGTCTGTTATTCTTAGAATAGGTGCGTTGCTACCCAAGATGCCAAACTTCTCTTCTCCGGTGGTTTTTATAGCAATTGTTTGTGTAGAAGTAGGGATGACACATCTAGCAGCAAAAAATATCTCCCCTTCTTTTGAAAAGCAAGGATATTTCACATTTTCAGCCTTTCTGGGGGCTCGCTTGCTCCGAACGGCGGCTCCCAGAGTAAGGATACCGAGAGGCGTGAGTGGGAGGGGAGCAGTTGTTCAGCAAACGCCCGGCCTCGGCGACGGGTTGTTTCCCCCTGTGCGCTCCTTCACGAACCCGCGGGATGCTGGGGCTGGAGCTGCGAGTGCAGTATGTTGCTTTTTTTTTAAAACAGGTTTTAAGTGCTGTCATAAACTGAAAGCTCTGTTAGTTTCCCAAAGGAATTTGGGTTTATATTTTAGCTGATAATTAGGGAGGGAGGGATTTTGGCAATATGTGTCTTTTTGCCTTTTTTTAAACTGCATATTAAATATCATGATTTTAATGGCAAGAAACCCAAAGTGACTTCTGGAGGCAGAGGATCAAGAAGACCAAAGGGATTTTAAAGGGCTCCTGCTTTATGGAGCTGGACTGGTGTCAGCGGTGTCATTTGGCTATTCTGGGATCCATCTGAGCGCTGTTAATCGCTCCCTATTTTACAGAAGCCCGTCAACAGCAGAAGTCCTGCCTGCTGTTAACCATTGCCTGGCACATGCGGTTTGTCATTGCTAAAGTTCAGCGACTGGCGCTTTTTTAGTGAAGAGCTGGAGTCTGTGACTTCAACAGCTTGTTGAGTGGTAACCAGAACAAGCACAACAGCCATGATTTTCCCTTGCTGCTGAGGGCCAGCCTCCAGATCCGGAATTGGGTGTATGAAGAAGGTGAGCTGGAGCGTACCTGGCTTCACTGCTGTCCTTTGGGGACTTACAGATGATGGACACGATGCTTGGATGCCCAGAAGCAGGAAGCCACTTGCTTCGTATGTCCAGTGCCTTGCATAGTTCCTGAACCCAAACTTTGAATAGAAAAAAGAGAGGCAAGAAAAATACACCTTAATATTGTATTTGTTATCCTGCTTAACAAGCTTCTGGACTTGCCAAATGCTTCGAGCTCTTGCATCGGAGACTGAGTACTATTGCTGCTCCCTCTTCTTCCGCGTTGGAGACCGTAATGTGTTGTTTCTTGTGAGTTTGATCTGAAACCTCAGAGTATTCTGCCTGCTTCATTTTCTATTGAACTTTCATGTTGTTAGTCCCCAGCTAATTCCATGTAACATATTCTGCGAGTTGTAAGTCGTCACGGAGGAAGTCCATGCTGTATCAGAGGGCTGCTGGCCATCAGCTCCCTGCAGGGAGAGAGCGTAGTCATGCTAGGTTTGAACAGGCGATCCCAGCCAGGATGACAAATCACAGCAGAATAAATTTCCAGAGATACAGGAGGATCCACAGAGTCCAAGAAAGGAGAAAAAGCACTGCAGCAATTCCATCCTGTGTTCCCTCGTCCAGCTCCAGGTGCCAAGAGCTGCTGAATGTCTCCTTGCTTGTTGCTGGGAAGGGACAGAAGCGCCTTGCCCAGCCGGTGGCCGAGAGCTGAGTCTCTCGGCAGCCTGCAGAGACTGAAAATTAGCTGCAGAGTGACTAGGCAGAGCTAGACCAAGGTGAGTGGCAGGGAAGTCAGATGGGTCATGAGGAGCAAGAAGGTGATGGAAAGGCAATCAGAGGCAACTGATAAGAGGTTTTGGGGAAGGTGGCAGCAAAGCAAAAGAAATGGACATGACAAGTGGGGTTGGAAGGTGGCTGGTGTAGTGATAGCACTGATAACATCCCGAGAATGTTAGTATCCATAAATGACGATGTTCACGGATGGTGAACACTTGCTGCGTTCCCATCTGGGGACTAAGCCAAGGTACAGCACCTGTGCAGGACTAGCAGGTACAACCTTCGTGGCTGGAGTAGCCCGTATCGCCTCAGATGTTTCACAAGTGGAGAAAATCCTGCAGGGCTTGGAACAGCAATGGCAGAATGAAAGGAAAATACCTCAGTGCTGGTGCTGCCTTCCCTGGGCAGCTGATGTGATCAGAGAGACGCGGCTCACGGCGTGTTGCCCCTTGCTGTTTGCCTGACACCCGAGATGGGAACGGCACTCTGCTTTCTAACTTGGACAGCAGCCCCAGACAGGTTGCAGGCAGAAAGCATAAGCAGTAAGGATTGTACTTTCCATCTTGCTTTTGCATTAAATAGGTCATTTTGAGTGAGGGGTGGTGCGAAAATACTTTATTTGGTTCCAGCAAATTTTACTCTTACCTTTGCCTTAGGCTGCTGAGGTTTTCTGCCACTTCGGGATTTTTGTGGTGCGTGGTTGTGAGCATTAGCCACACAGCTGAAAAACCCTGCGCCTTCCCACCCACCACCCTTTCTCCACAAATAAGTGCTGTCGTTCATGTGATTTTCTGTGATTTGTCTTCTCTGGTGCTCAAGAGCTTTCCTGTTTCACTCCACTGCTACGAAGGCAGCTCCACGAGCAGCGAGTGGAGCTACCGAGGAGTGAACTGGGGGGTGATGGTTACCATTGCACTGGCTTTCCAGCTGGACACCAAGAACTGGTGATGCTGGCCTGCCGGCAAGGCTGAGCAGTGATGGGAGCTTCAGAGGGCAGAGGAGGGGGCCGGTGACAGCCTGGGGTTGTGAGGTTCCCTCTTGTAGCTGATGGAAAAGAGCTGTGACTATGGTGGGAGTGCTGGGGGAGGAGAGGAGACCTGTCTGGTGGTGGTTAAGCATGGATTCTTGCTGGGGAAGAAGTCTGCTGTACGTGTGGTACAATACCATAGTCATCTGAACTGAGGAAGGCGTCGAGGTGGTCTCGGGATCGTGTGAATGGCTGTGTCTCCATGCTGGGGTAAGCTCATGGCGCAGGGCTTCGTGAGTAAAGGAGGGGTGGGAAGGACCCAAGGGATTCCTGTGCAGCGCCGTGCTCTCCCTGCCTCGGCTAACAGCCACTCTCCATTCACGAGGCAGACTGAGGAAGGCGTCGAGGTGGTCTCGGGATCGTGTGAATGGCTGTGTCTCCATGCTGGGGTAAGCTCATGGCGCAGGGCTTCGTGAGTAAAGGAGGGGTGGGAAGGACCCAAGGGATTCCTGTGCAGCGCCGTGCTCTCCCTGCCTCGGCTAACAGCCACTCTCCATTCACGTGGCAGAAGTCGGCAGAGCGGCGTCATGACTGCGTTGGCAAACTAGACTCCTGTTGCTCTGAGTGCGCTTCCAGCCCCTCAGCACGTCCCCTCTCCCCACAGCGGCCGGGAGCTGTGGGCCCCGGCTCTGCCCTCGCCTTGCTGTCGCCGCCGTGAGCCACGTGCCTCTGCCGCAGCCCGGGCTCCGAGCCCTCGGCAGATAACCCCGCTAGAAGACCGCTGGAGATTCCCAAAGCTTCCTGCAGGGGTTGTGGCGCTTGAAGCAGGGTTCATCCACCCTGCCTTAGAAGAAAAGGAGAGAATTTCCAGGTATGCAGTGTGTGGATGGTTTTTTCCCAACCGGGAGTTTTTGCTTGGCTGTAGGCGTCTCTCCGACTCCAGAGCCGGTTTTCTGAACTGCTCGGAGTGGTGCAGTTCCGCTGCTGTTCCTCCTCAAAGCCTCCAGATGCTTCCTAGAATCATAGAATCATAGAAAGTTTTGGGTCAGAAGGGACCCCTACAGGTCATCTAGTCCGACCCCCCCGCAGCGAGCAGGGACACCGCTAACTAGATCAGGTTGCTCAGAGCCCTGTCCAACCTGGTCTTGAATGTTTCCAGGGATGGGGCCTCCACTACCTCTCTGGGCAACCCGTTCCAGTGTTTCACCACCCTCATTGTAAAGAATTTCTTCCTTCTATCCAGCCTAAACCTACCCTGTTTTAGTTTAAAACCATTACCCCTCGTCCTGTCACTGCTGTCTCTACTAAAAAGATTGTCCCCATTCTTCCTTCTCTCCGTGGTGGCATGGGTTGAAGCCAAGTCTATTGACTTTTTGACTTACCATTTCTGTGAGGATTTTTTAACTTTATTTTTACTTTTAGAGGTCACAGCAGGTGAAGGTTGTGCTCCAGTGCCTGATTGCCTCCCCGGTTTTAACCTGCTTTTCAGTCGAGCAGGAACATTGGGCCA